AATTGTGGAATGCACTTCCCCTATTTCTACGGGGTTTGGAGACCTTCAAAAAGCAGCTAAAGACATTTTTATTTCAAAAAGCTTTTAATTAGACCAGGGTTTTCATGGTGTATTTTATGACTGTATTATGTTTTTACCTTGTAAAGCACTTTGTGACATATGTCTGTGAAAGGTGCTATATAAATAAACTTTACTTTACTTTACCTACAGTCTCGTACTTCTTTTCGTCAAATTTTTGTCATAGCAAACATTTTCATTTTGTTTAAAATTAAACATTATTTTATATTCAATGAAATTTTTATTACTTTAGCATGAATGACGTGTCACTTTATTCTGCAATCACTAGGCCAGTAGCTGTTTCCCAACATTTAGAAAGGATTTTGTAATAGCTGCCTTATCTGCTTATCCAGGTACAAGCAATTTCTATATCTGGTAAGGTAAATAGGTGGGGTGATGGGGTGAACTACACTGTAAAAAAGGGCAGTGAAATTGACATAAAAACCATGTAAAACCCCTACAGAAATGTATAGTAAACCCCAAAACACAACTTTCCTGTTTCGATCACAGTGAATTATTGTAAACCTTTAAACAGAATGTTCCTGTTATATTTACAACATGAATGTGTGATTATAATCAAATTTATTGGTTAAAACTACAAATACTGTGAATAAAAACAGTGAAACACCGTAATACTCATAACCAAACAATCATGTTAATTTGACATGCAAATACTGTAAAAATCACAGTTTTAGTCAGTTTTTCTTAAAAACACATGACCTATAAGTCACTTTACAATTGCATGGATGTACTGGGCCTACTTTTAACATGATTCATGAAATGATGCAAAGTCATGGATAGGACTAATAAAAATGTTTTCACAGAAGATGTCATTGTGAACCTGAGAGGTTGCCTCTCCATTTATAGGCTATATAAAAATATACAATTAAAATTGTTTACATCATGTTTTTTTCTTAAATCATTCGGGCTATTTGCAGCCTATTGTAGGGTAACCAATAAGAAATTATTATTTAACGACTAAGTAATGCTTCTGTCATAATGCTTGTATTCTTTATGTTTCTTTTAATTGCAATGTGATACTTAGACTAGAATACTTTTTTGGGTTAGGTCAGCAATGTCTCATTATTACAGGCTAAACAAACTTACAGTGCCTCCCATAGGATCTCTATGGTGCCTCATCTCCACAGAGCTGTAAGCTACTTCAGGCCACTCACGTTGCACTGAGCGCGCCTAATTTTGAATGTGCATCTGAAGCTCGTCTCTGATTGGATAATGACGTGAGGGCGGGAGGAGAAGAGCGCCTAGTTCACGAACTTAGCTAACGAGCCAGCACTAGAGAAGAAAACGTCGAACTTTCAGCAACTACGTTGTTAGGACAAATTACAAACATACGATTTCAAGTGTTTTTTGAGGATCTGTGTTTGTTCGTCAGAAAGTCTGCACGGTAAGTTCAATATCTTGGCGACGTTTTTTCGAGATAAAAGCACCAGTTGATATTTAGACCAATGCTCATAACCTAGCGCTAGCATGCTAGTTCAGCTGAAAAGCACAGGCAAACTTTTGAAATACTAAAAATGATCATCTGCGTCTTTTGTAAAAAGGTATTGGTCACATTAAGAGGCTATGTACTACATTGCAGAGTGCATAAGAATGAGCCTTGTTGTATTTTTAAATGTGTTGGCGCCAATTGCAGCCAAACATTCACCACGTACTCTGCTTTCAAGGGGCATTTTTATCGTGTGCACAATGCACCTGCACTTCAAGCTACTCCTAAAGCTCTTGTTGCAGATTTAAAATGTGCGGTTTCATTATGTGCCCGCCATTCTCAAACAGTGAAAGAGCTAGTGTCTCACTTAAACGATCATATTGCAGAGGGCAGGTCTGTGTCATGTCCAGTAAGTGGTTGTAAGCATATGTTTACAAAAAAGTCATCATTTACTTCTCACATGTGTAGGAAGCATAAAGCTTGTTCTCCAGATGGTATTGATGACATGTACAAGGAATCTCGTCCTCAGCCCCCAAATGACAGTACAGAATATTCAGAAAACACACATGAAACCATGGCATCTGCTAGTTCAGCCAGTGATATGGCAGAGAAGGATAGTCATTCTTATCTCAGAAACATGTGTCTCTTTTACCTTAAACTGCAAGGACAGCTGCTAATTCCTGCCTCTACTATACAGAGTATTGCTGAGGAAATGCAGAATGTGCACGAATTGGGTCAAGCCTACACAATTAATAAGGTAAGTTGTTTACTAAAAAATGAAATGAACCTATCAGATGAAGCAGTCACTAAAATCTGTGACTGCATTAAAGAGTCAGATTTGTTCTCTGCTTGCCATCAGGGACAACTAGGAACAACACACACCAGAAATCAAACATTCAAAAAAATGTTTAAATACACAGAACCCAAGAAAGTGCCATTGGGAATGGATGAAAACATGACAGAAAAATGTGCTTACTACATACCAGTTGGAGAAACCCTGAAGAGCTTTTTAGAGTCACAGTTATGGAGGAATACACAGTCACAACAGTTTGGGGGTCCTGATGTAGAAATTTTTAAGGATTTATATGATGGCAAAATTTTCAAATGTCACCAGTTCTTTAATGAAAACCCTGAAAGCCTCAAACTGATTTTGTACCAAGATTCATTTGAGGTAGTGAATCCCCTGGGTTCTGCTAAAAAGACGCACAAACTTCTTGCAGTCTATCTGTCATTAGCAAATTTACCCATTCATTTGCGTTCAAATACAGATAACATGTTTTTAGTCTTGTTGTGTGTTGAGAATGACTTCAAGCGTTTTGGAATAGCCAAAGTTTTCTCAGAGTTGTTGGCAGATCTGAAATCTTTGGAGACAGATGGAATAGATGTAGATGGAGAAACTGTAAAAGGGGGTCTTTACTGTATTGCTGGGGACAACTTGGGTTCTCATTGCATAGGAGGGTTTACAGAAAACTTCAGCTGCTCTCAATATTTTTGCAGGTACTGTGAAGTAACACGAAGTGAGTTTTATGCTGATCCGAATGCCTGTGGTCCTCCACGCACTCCAGAGACATATGACGCGGCTGTTGCTGATCTCCAGTCTGAAACTATCCAAGACGTCAGAGGAATAAAGGTAAACTCCATCTTCAATACCCTTCAGTCTTTTCACGTATCCCAGCCTGGTCTCCCACCTTGTCTAGGTCATGACCTCTTTGAAGGAATTGTGTCATATGATCTAGCACTGTACCTGAAGAACATTATAAAAAATAAAAAATGGTTCACATACTCCCTTTTAAACAGACGCATTAAACAGTTTAAATATAAAGGATCCGAAGCACTTACAAAGCCATGTACTGTCAAACCTGACGGATCCAAATTATCAGGGCAAGCCGTTCAAAACTGGAACCTTTTGAGATTGCTGCCAGTTTTGATTGGTGACAAAGTACAAAATCATGAGGATGAAGTATGGCAGTTAGCTCTCCAGTTGAAAGACATTGTGGATCTTATTTGTGCTCAGAGCATTTCCTTGTCCCAGATAGCATTCGCTGACATTTTGATCCAAGAATATTTGGAGATGAGAGAGATGTTGTTTCCTGGAATTAAACTAAAACCCAAGCACCACTATTTGCGCCATTATTCAGCACTGTTGTTGAAATTTGGTCCATTGATGAGGTTATGGACGCTTAGGTTTGAATGTAAACACAGTTACTTCAAAAGATGTGCCAGACACTTGAAAAGCTTCAAAAATATTTGTCAAACTTTGTCAACACGTCATCAGATGTATCAGGCTTATCTTTTAGCAGGGCAAGAATGCCGTGAACTGCTGCAAGTCAAGGAGAGCTGTGCGTTTTATCCCAACCTCTACAGTGACACTATTCAGCATGCGGTCAGGGAGTTAGCTTTTTCAGAAAGCAATACCACAGTTACCACAGACATTCAGTACAAGGGCACTGCATATAAAAAGGGACAGTTTCTTGTGTACAGAAATGACGAGTGTATGGAGTTTGGTGAACTTCTACTCATCTTGATTCAAAATGACACATCTGTGTATGTTCTAATGGATATCCACAAAGGCATCTTCCTCTCAGAATACCATCTGTATTCTGTGACAAAGGACAGTCTTGGGTTACAGTGTATCAACATTAATGACCTGCCTGATTTCTATCCTTTGGTATCATACATTCTTCAAGAATACCGAGTCATTCCACTAAAGCATAGTATTGTGGCAAAATAATGTCCAACTAATAGCTCACTTCTCACTGTAAATAGTTTAACATTAATATAAGTGTCACGTAATCCACACCCTGCTCCATCAAGTGTATGAACTGTATGTGATTTTCTATTTTGTTTGGATGTGGCATTTCTTCTTCAGTGCAAGTATGAGTGACTCAGAGCGAACCTTCCTAGATGTCGCCATCACGGAAGTCCTACGAGAACTTCAAGCTGTGAACAAAAACATCCTGGAGGAGCACTTGCAGTCCATTGGAGTTGAGACAAGTGATGATCTACGCTTCGTAACGGAGGCAGATTTGATGACAGCATTAAGACCTGTACAAGCAAGAAAGCTTCTTTCTGCTTGGAAACAGAAATGTAAGTAAAAACAACAAACAACTATTCAAACTCAAAAGCAGAGATGGTCATGAACAGACATACAGTGTGAATCATAATTGTATTTGTTTTGTAATTTAAAGACCAAACTCCAGAGAACAGCTCGCTATCATCTGTGGAAGCCTCATCAACCCAGTCGCTGTCATTGCTCTCACTTTCACCCCAAAGTCTATCGTCGACCTCTTCCAGCAGCCCAGGATGTGACACACAATGGGATGACAACTTTGAAATTCCATGGAGTAAACTTCCTGCAGAAGTGATGCATTTTCTTGAGAGGGGGAAAAGGCCTCGCCCAAAACTGAGGAGGCAAATGGTCCGGATTGTTGTGACTGAGATGATGGAAAAATGCCCTCATGTAGGTAGAAAACATTCAATTGACGTTGCAAGAAAAATGGTGGCAAAATATCCCAATTCTCTGCAAGATTTAATAGAGGGTGAGATTGTTGGCGCAGGCTACCTTTCACTTGTCAAACAGTTGCAGAACAGAATTGAAAATGTAAGGCGCACTTCAACACCCAAAATAAGAAAAAGAAAACATCAGACTGACTCAGACCACACAGACGAGATCCCTTTAGAAGAAAGAGCAGCCATGCAGGATACATACGGGTGCATTAAATGGAATGTAGAATTTCTGCCTCTTGAAGAAACTCCAGAGAGCCAACAGCAAAAGATGGAAAAACTCAAGGTGATGTTCCAGCAAGCTGACACCAATCCAGAAGAGGTAAAAAGTCTAATGAAGTCCACTTACTACACACAACGTCTGCATGTCAATCAGGGGAAAAGTATCAAATGCCTTAGGGAGGAGTGGCCGTTTTGGTTTGATGAACTTGGCATGTCTGTCCACTTCAAGGAACTTACTGGGATTGACCTCAAAGAGACATTCACACGTAATTTGGATTTGAAGGGGAAAAGGCTACTGGACTACTTGACCACAGTTGCTGTCAGCAAAAGCAAGGTGTTCCTTCAGACTTATGCAAGGCTTCAGAGGATGCGGGGACCGCAGAGTGGCTGCTCAGATGATGTGAAAGAGATGGTCCTGCTTCTGCTCAGCTACTTTGAAGAGAAGGAGGAGTCCATGCTTCTCTGTGTTGAAGATACATGTCTGGCAGATGAGGTACAACTGGAGCAAGTGCCTCTGACACCCACTATTATCGTGTGTGGTAAGTCTGTTTCATAGCTCTCTTTTTTTTTTTTTTTTTTTTTTAAGTGCACTTTTTATAGAATGTCATGTGACTGCCGTGTTTATTGATATAACCTGTTAAATAATTTGTTCACAGGACAGTCCTGCTATTCCTCAAGAAGATACATGCTGAGTGTTGATCGGAACCTCGTCAGCACAAACATATCCTCCTTCATTTCTGCACTGTGCCTCATGTTCGGGAGCTACTACAATTTCAACATCCATTATCCATCTGAGCTGGCTTCCACTTTAGAGTTTCTTCAGAGGTGAACAAATATGGCTTTGTTATTTCTCATAACTGAGACTCTGGGATCTGGAGTCTGGCTTTGATGTGGTTCGAGTCCAGGTCTGGCTCTGAGTCTCGGTCGGCTTTGGAGCCGGTTTCAGTTGTTTTTTTTCTGTTTTTTGTTGTTGTTGTTTTTTTTTTTGTTTGTTTGTTTTTAAATACAATAACAGTCTGAATCCGGGTCCAAGCCTGGCCGAGACTCAGGGCTAGACCAAGCGTCAACTGACGTCTGACTACCTATAACCTTTGCTTTGGATTTTAACAATGCTAAAGTGTGACATATCACTGCAGAAGACACTCGTGAAGGGTGCCAATACTTTTGACCATGCATTGTTCACTTCCCCACAGCATTTTGGTTATACTTTGTCTTGAACGTGGTCATGGCCATGACTGTGTGTGTCTATATATGTATATACTTAATTTTTACTTACTTTGTATGTGTATTTTAACTGATCAATTATAAAAATGCTTAATAAACTTTTATATGATTGTTATTCTACAGGTGTTTCTTCTCCATAAACCCAGAAAAAGGAACCAAAGTAGAGAACAAAAACTCAAAGCGTCGTCTCAGTGTGAACCCTCGAGTCCTCACCCTGATTCAGGATCTCGCCGACCACGAGTGGCGCTAAGCCTAAATCTTGACTCTCTGTGGACTGTTAGTTTTAGTTTGTTAATTTTGTTCCACAATGTGTACTGGAACCTTTTACTGGTCGAATGCATGAAGCCAATTCATGAAGATGTTCTTTCTTTGTAGGAATGTTCTTTATTTACATAAGAAAAGAAAAAAACAACATGCTGCTACTGCAGTGTTTCTAGACCACATGTGTAGGTTTGTTTCACCACGTGGTTTTGCTGATGTTTTCTGACCAGGGCCATGGTTGTGGTGACAGCAGGGTGCGTGTTGCGTTGCACGGTGATTATGATCATTTTTGACACAATATGTGTTTTTTGTTTTAAAGTCTTAACAGGTTAGTTAACTTTTTCTGGTGGAGGGTCTAACAAATGCTTGTTTCATGAACATGGTTCTTACTTTGCAGGAATGTTCCACAGCTTTTATAGCCTATATTTTGATTGAATTGTGTAGTTGCTGTGTGCCTTGCATATTGTGTTAGTTGGAAAAATGGATCCATTTGCTGTCATTTTGCTAATGTGGCTGCAAAATAAATTTCCCAAAAGTGATATTTTCCTCTCTTGTGTTTTCTCAAGATGTATTTTTGCATGTTTGGGTGTAGGCGTAGCAGTAAGAAATTTGCTGGGTTATGGTTAAAATTTTACATTAAAACATATAATATTCAGCATAGATTTTATGTATAATTTACAGAGCAGCTCCATTTAATATGCACAGTTTCACTGTAGTTCTACCATTTTAAATTAGTTCTTTGTACGATATTTCCCTGTTAATTTTGCAGTTTATGGATCCACAAAAAGCATTTATTACTTGTGATATATAAATACACTTTCCTGTATCTTTTACATCTGTGTGAAATTAACTTCTTTTTCCTGTAGATTTAAGTTTTAATCTGAGATTCATTCACTGTAAATCAATTTACAAGTTGCATCTGTAAAGCGTTTTTACAGGAAGTCCCTGGTAACCCCAGCTGCCAGGGTTTTCCTGTAAAAACAGCACGTTTTTTTTTTTTTTTTTTTTTTTTTTTTTTTTTTTTTTTTTTAACAGTGTATCTTAGTAGTAGAACTCTCACCTATAAACAACAAAGCTGATACTTTCTCATGGAAGTTATAGAATTTCATCACTGATATGCAAACTGTGCTCTTTCACAGGCTTTAGATAGTGTGCTGATGATATTGCAGTTTTGCTTGGACTTTTAGCACATTCATCCATGGTCCCATAGAGAAGATGGCAAATTCCCCACTACTTATGAAACATTTTTAAGTTACTGGGGAATTTGCAATTGAACTGCTTCTTTCTGGTGAGATTGGCCAATTTATAATCATCTTGTTCAAGAAAATGATTTGGTTGAAAGTTTATTTTAAAAAAGTTTACCATTTGTTCTTTCACGAATACAAACAATTCTGTAAGAATTTTTGAATTGTGTGGAAGAAAAATTGTACTAAAGGTTTTGTACAGACAAATTCAGCAAGTTGAATGTGATTCCTTGTTTTCTAAAAGCAGTGCATCACATCAAACATATAATTTTACATTTACATCAAACGTTGTTTCACCAGACTTAGACATCACAACACCCACAATGCAGGTGTAAGAGTTACTTGTACTTGTAACAAGTTGTTTTCCTGAAAAACGGAAAACAACTTGTTACAAGTAATGTGGCAGAATTGATGACCATAAAGCTGCTGAATGCATGAAAATCAGAATCAGAATACTTTATTAATCCCTAAGGAAATTATGTGGATTAAAAACTATCCACTATCCACTACCCCTTATGATAGTAACTCACATACCTAAGGGCTTGGAAACTGCCAAGCAAAGACTTTCAGCCTAAACCTGCCAATTGAACCTGAGAAATTGAAGCTAGGAAAATAAACCAGATGTTCTCCAATAAATCATCTAAGGTGTACTCTCAGCGGTAGGTGAACAACATGAGAACAAGTACCTAAACAGGATCCTGTAACTATCATAGTGGTAGACATTTAAGACACAGTCTTAAGTATGAAGAGTTGGACGGCATCAGGCCCTGACATGATTCCGCCTACTGGTTAGAGAAAGTAACTGCACTCTGGCACCACAAATGAACCAGCTGCTCATGGATGAAATACAACCAGAATGGCTAACTGAAGGCCGGACAATCCTGTCCCCAAGAATCCCCAGAAGGAGCGAGTCCCATCTAACTACTGGCCAATAAAGTGCCTCAGTACCACACAGAAGCTTCTGTCAGTCATAGCAGACAAGATTTAAAGATTGTATGATAATAAAAACAAAACAGAAAAACATAATTGACCCCATACGAGTAAGTGCTTTGGTGACCGTGGGAAGGAAAAACTTCTTTTTAACAGGAAGAAACCCCTAGCAGAACCAGGCTCAGGGAGGGGCAGCAATCTGCCACAACTGGTTGGGGTTAGGGAAGGAAGACAGGACAAAGACACGCTGTGGAAGAGAGCCAGAGATTAATAATAACTAATAATTAAATGCAGAGATGTTTATAAACACTTAATGAGAGAAAAGGGTGAAAAACAGTGCATCATGGAAATCCCACAGCAGCCTAGACCTATTGCAGCATAACTAAGGGAGGATTCAGGGTCAACCTGATCCAGCCCTAACTATATGCTTTATCAAAAAGTTTTAAGAATACTGGCACATGGCTCAATACATGAGTGGGGCTCAGAAATAAATTGTCATGAACACAACATGGAAAAAACTCCAGCTCCTGGTAGGTAGGGCAGTCACTTCAAGCCAGTTGCAAAAGTCAACATCAAGTGCAGGATTCACCAAGGAGATGCTCTGTCCCCACTGCCGTTGTACGTAGACCTCAATCCCCTCACCATATCAAGCCATATCATTGACAAGGCTTGGTACGGATACTGACTATGGAATGGAGAAATGGTCAGCCACCTCCTCTACATGGATGACATCAAGCTGTATGCCAAGAGTTAGCAAGACATCAACTCAGTAGTCCACACCTCTAGGATCCAAGTGTAGTCAGATGGAAAGAAAGGGAAAGTAGTTAGAACTGAGGAAACTGCACTACCAGAAGGCAGCAATGCAGACATCGAGAATAGCTACAAGTACCTGGGGATCCCACAGGGAAACAGGAACTGTTAAGAGGAGCCTAGGAAAACCGCAACCACCAAATACATGCAGATAGTAAGGCAAGTCCTGAAGAATCTGCTGAATTTGAAGAACAAGATCCAGGCAAAAACACCTGGGCCCTTCTCATTGTCAGATAGCCTGCTAGGATAATCAGTTGGCCAAAGAAAGAGAAGCCACTGACATCAAGACAAGGAAACTCCTTGCCATGCGTGGAAGGTTTCAACCCAAGTCCAGTACTGTGAGACTGTATGCTAAGTGGAAGGAAGGTAGCCAAGGATTAGTGAGTGCCAGAACCACTGTCCAGGATGAAACAAAGATCCATGGGTACATCAGGAAGATAGCCTCAACTGATAGTGTGTTTCATGAATACCTCAAGCAACAGAAACATAGCTGGAAGAGGAATAAGAAGAGGAACCATCATGGAAGGAAAGGCTGCTGCATGGGATGTACCACTGGCAGATAGATGAAGTGGCTTATATTGAAAAATCCTACCAGTGGCTTGACCAAGCTTGCCTAAAAGACAGCACAGAGGCACTAAGCATGGCAGCACACAAATACACCCGAAGTACAAGATCCACACCAGGTGGTAGACCTGATGCACTTGTGCATCTTTGCACAGGTGCAGGCTGTGCAAAGAGGCCCATAAGACAATCCAGCACATAGCGAGCTAAGATTCTGTGGGACTTCCAGATACAGAAAGACAAACAGGTGATGAACATAGTAGTGGTGGATAAGCAGAGGAAGGCAGTCGTAGTGGCAGATGTAGCTATCCTGAGTGATAGCAACATCAAGAAAAAGAAACACGAGAAGCCAGAGAAATAGCAAAGGCTGACAGAGGAGCTTAAGAAGCTGTGGAAGGTGAGGATATCAGCAGTCCCCGTGGTAATTGGAGCACTCAGGGCAGTAACCCCCAAACTGGGTTAGTGGCTCCAGCAGATCCCAACAACATTTCGAGATGTCCATCCAGCAGAGTGTAGTCCCAGGAAAAGCAAAGATATTGCCCAGGACCTTCAAGTTAACAGGCCTCTGGTAGTGGGCTTGAGCTTGAAGGATAAGGGGTGAGTTGGAAATTTACATAGCAATGTTGATGTTAGTATGGCGAATAACAGCTGAGAATGTTAATAAAACATGTAATCTGTCATTTAACAGTTTCACATGAAGTAAACAGGAACATGACTATTTCATTATTTTTATTAATGTTTGAAAGAGATAATCATGAAAATGTTATTTTAATGTGATTGATTAAAATCTTAATATTAAAGTCTGACTTGTACTTTTCAAATATATCTTAAAATGAAATTTTCCAGAAATGTGTATACAGTTGCACTCATTTAGAGTTCAGGTAAGTGTCCTACTTTTGCAGACAAGCTGTCCTATTAAACCCAAAAAACCTCACTGAAATAGGAGGCAGCTGGATCTTTTTCAAACCTTTACACAAGCATGTTGACAAAGGTTAACCCATATCAGAAACAGCTAATTGTGTAAGTGAATTTGGAAATGATGTTAAAATTTTACCAGATTATTATACCATATGAATTCACACTAATATTATAGCAATATTGGTAGAAATATAAAAAATGACTTAAGTTAGTCTTTTTCTTTTTTATTGTGTATTTTTTGTCTTTTTCTGTCAAATTAAATATACTACAAAAGTGTATAGAGAGTTGGAGAGAATGTGTGAATCCTTAGCTGTGAAAAGCATTGGTCTGAGTACTGTTAAGCTTATTTATATAGCATATTTAAACACAACAGCTGTTGACCAAAATGATGCACAATAAACAATAAACCAAGTACAATCAGTAAAGGAATAGAAAAAGAAAACTAAAATGCAAAACAATGACTATGCTTGAGTGTGGGCACTCGGCACAATTCTCCGTGGTTTTCAGGGTTTTCCATTAAGTCATA